AACTACGGACACACGCGAACTAGAAATCTCACATTTCGCTACGCGCCGATTTCTAATCCAAACTAGCATTGAATAAACGATATGATATTAGTGTCTTGTTTATCAATACGAGTAATTTTAAATGCAATATATGAAGATAGAATTCTGACGAAAGTATTATGGACCTGAGTCAAATACCTATCGTTATATACCGACCGTTAGAAAACATGCCGCTGAAACGAAATGCAGTTAAAGAAAGCACACAATTTCGTCCTTTTCTTCTATCTTGCTTCGTCACAGGCTGGGCTTTCGTAGAACTTGAACAATTTATAAAACATTTATTCCGTCACCTTGTATACATATAATGATACAAAACTTAAACATAAAAATTATGAAAATGAAAATACAAAATTCAAATTTGTTACAAACAGTAATTATATCAATACTAGTTTCGCACGCGTTGAAGCTCTTAAATAAATATTTTTTCTTTTTTTAAATATATTTTTAATAAAAATAATGCCCTTTTTAATACTAAGAATATGTGTGCAAAGTTTCATGTTGATTGGTTGAGTAGTTTTGGCGTAAAAGCGTAACAAACAAACTTACGTTCACATTTATAATATTAAGTAGAGATTTACAAATTAAAACAATACAATATGTGTTTTAACAAGGTGGCGGAAGCTGATTTTCATGTGCCCCAGGCGTTTACACGCACGTATGTATCGTGATTTTGTCGCTAGTAATTTCTGCGCGCTCACACTGCGCCGGTGTGAAGAGCCAACGCTTTCCGCTCGGTCGGCCGTGATGCACCAGTTTTTGTCTAGCTGCAAAAAAGAACAATAATATCTAAGGACGCCCCACGCGAGGAATGAGGAAATTTGTGCTCTTCGGCTGTTCGCAGTCATCAGATTGCGTTGCGTTTGGATTCAAGTGTTACGCGATGCGCGAACGTTGCGCTCGCTAAGTAATTAGTTTAACAAACGTGTGCCGGTTTTCAATTAGAGCTAACTAAGCTCTTATAAATTATCTGTTTTATTACAAAATCGAAGAAGCCTACAATATCATCGGAATGGAAAGTTCACGCAACGTTTTTAAACATAACATAGTATTCATCGTTATCACTGACCTGATTGGTTCGTTACATTGAAATCTGGTCCGCTTCAAACGAACCGCTACAACTCGGAAACATCCCCTAATTAGTGAGGTATACGCACGCGCCACACTAGGATGTCGTGTTGCCAGCGTATGGCGCCCCGCACTAACGACCGCCCGGGAAAAGCGTTCGAGTCACGAGCGAGGGCTCGAGAAAAAAAAAACGTGACGTCACGAACGTTGTGAAACGACCGCCTCCAAATTTAACGGTCTCTGAGAGTGAGCATACAACACTTCCGGCGCGATGCACTATCAGGGTCGTCACTACGACGGAAATCGTCACAGTTCGGGTTAGAACTAATTGCATTAAATGAATCGATTGATTCTCAACGTAGCGGATGTGAGCATGTATCAATGTAATGGCAATGAGTTGTGAGGTTTAATTATGCTCAGTAACTAGCCTCGTTGCTGGGGTATACTTGCACTTTAATTTGCGATATAAAAATTCCTTTTAAGTCATTTCAAAAATCCAACGGATCCCTCTTAGTTTCAAGCCTCATGATTTAACAACTATCTATTTATCAATCACAAATAGTAATACATATTGCGTTTCATTGGGTAGCAAAGAAGGGGTAACACGCAAAAGTTCCTTTACACTTTTTTTTAATTTAGCAACTGATAGATAGATTCTGAAAGTTTTCTGGGATTTTGTTCTAAAAACCGTATACGCTAACTGCTCTAATAGCAATGGAATGATCGAAATGACTTGATTGCTTAATTCGTTTCCGGTAAAACAATTACGTTTACTTCGTAATGCCTCAAATCTTCTAACGGTATTTTTTCCATACGTTTATAGTCTATACACAAAATGACTTTCTAATCGCATAAGTTTCATTTACCTCTTTTTCTGATGTTATTTGTTTTTCAGTGTTTATGTAAATGTGTGGATTGTAGAATTGTAATGAAATACTTTGTCTCGAAGCAATCCTCTAGAGATGAGCCTGTGCGTAGGGATGACACCGAGTATAAGATTTTATGCGACCAACAAGAACTATGTTAGAACAATTTTGGGAGATGACCTTGAATAATCCTCCCTTTGTGCCCGTCCATGATTTATAAAGAACTCCTGTGCAATGTTAATGCTTTCGGAGGTACTGGTCTTTTGATATATATACGTTGTGTGTCAGATTACGTTTTAGTTAGTCGAAAGTAGATTTCGCTCGAGAGCTTCTCGCGTAACTTCTTGCTGAGCTTTTATGTAATTGCTGAATGATAGGCGATTGCGCCAGTCTTGTGTGTGAGCGTTATCGATTCCTTTGAAAGTGGATCGAGAATTTGGCACGGACAGTTTTTTTTTTAATTGTGAAAAGTTTTCAAGTGAGCAGGCAGTTTGCTTGATTTTGAATAAATACTGCCGCAAAATGACATAACATTCCTTTGTTGCCCCGAGGCCTCCCGACCAGATCTCCAGATCGGGCCCTGGTCATCCTATACGATAAACAATAAAGTCTGACGATTTTCGTCTGCAACAGTACGGTCTTCGTAGGCCCAAGAGTCAGGATGCAGTTGGCCAAATTGCCGCCGTGAGCGCGCGCGGTATGTAGGTTGGCGCGTCGGGAATAGAACTGCGTCCGTTGCTATGGCAACGGTCCGTCGCGACAGCACGGCATTATTTTCTGAACTAAAATTGTTACATTGTCACGATGAAGACTGTTTTGTATTTTAACTCATAAGCCGCCTGTATCCAGATTTATTTTTGGTATTATTGGCCGCGTTTTATTGCACTAACTTTAACGGCCGAGTGCTGGTAATATTTTGATTCGCGTACATTTTCGTAGCGCGTGTCGTATCCGCGTCAAGTGCAAATCGAACGAACGCCGCGAAAGGCGGTTCCTCGTCGGAATACTAATGAGCCCAGCTCCGACCGAAAACATTAATTAGTCACGCTTAATACTAATACTACGCGAAACGCGGATAAGTGTCCGACTTTGCGAGAACACGTTCGGTTCCAAACGGGCGATTTTTCCGTGGAAATCGTTAGGGCTAGTAGCACCGCGAGGTTCCTCTTTTCGTTCGACGTCTGTCTGCGTGATCGAATTGTACACACGGCCACGCTGTCGAGTATTCATCTTCATCATCATTATCTCACCCTGTTAGACGCTGCTGAACACAGATCATCAGATTCATCTAGTGGAGTCCGGTACGTTATAGTTTGATGGCCAGTAATCCCTACCAAAAACCAAACCTTTCTTCTCCATCGACAATCGATGGAGAAGAAAGGTTTCGACCCACCGCCACATCAGCTGATTAATCTTCTGAGCTATGTCCGTTATCTTTGTTATCGCGATGTCGTGAGGTTTGGACTTCTCAAGATGACTTTTTTTTTAGTTATGTCGTCTATGATCACCGCCACCCATGGACAGCGAAAACTGTTGCGTGGCCCTGACGGACAGTTTTTCGCGTGAATACAATAAATCAATACTTTTGATCGCTGAGAATACCATAGCCGAGGACGATTGTGAATTGGTAATAGGCGACATCCGGTTGCTAAGTTACTGTGTAGAGAACTGGACGCTCCAATTAGCCCTAGGCTCTGGTGTAATGACCGAAATTTGCTAACGGTGCATTCGGCGTTATATCACGTCGCGGCCGGGTAATGCCCCGTGACCCACTCGCCTACTTTGCCAATTGTGCAACTCGTGTGAGTATAATTGCACCCTTGCCTCTTCCGTCGATGGCACGCTGCAACAATCTTGAAACTCGGGACCTCAGTAGTTTGACGCGATAGAGCGAGCGTAACGTTCTTGATAATTTTGATTTGTGAAATGAAACTGTTTAAGGGATTCCATCATGTTTCCAACGCTCCTAAAGCTTTAAAGGGTTCTTATGTCGAAGTTAATCCGGGCTACCGTCCGTTGTATTTTATTGTTTATTTTATTCCAAAAATGGATAGTATTCGCGTAAATAATAAAAACACAATACGTTCGATTGCTCGGGATATGAAATTTAAGAACGATTGTGCAATCGAAATATATGACATTTGTTTGCTACGTTGCAAAACAAATCTAAAGTATTTACAACCAAGTGGAGGATCGTCTCCCATTAAATACTCTATATATGATGTGAATATTTTTCTACAGGTCTATCTATTGGCAAATTACAAAGACCGGTAATAACTGTGTAGGTGTCCACCTTCGGGGCTCGAAGCCACGGCAGCAGACGGCGATATTTATTTAGCCTTACCGCATAGCAACTGTCGCCACCGTGACATCTGTTCTTTTCTTGCTATACCAAATGAAAGTGTGTCTTGCAATTAAAGTGATGCGTGTCATAAGGCTATTTCTATTTCGAATTGAAACTTCTATTTATTGTTAATCCATCCGAGCCCACTTTATACCTAGCCGTTAAGCCATGGGATACTAGGTGTAGTGACTCCTGTTAGTCTGACATTCGTATAAGTATATATAGTGTGATAGGCATATTATTGTGGATGCACCATCGCTGTTATTGCTATTATGATTCGGTGTTTATAGACACTGGATGAATGTAAACACCGCTTCTGTCAAACTGGAAGTACTAAACGTTACCTAGGTTCTTAAACGGTAGACATAAATTGTTGTAATGATACTCGAAGAAGCACTAGAATGGGGGTACGTCCGTAGTTCTCACTAGATACACGACCGACGAGACAAAAGCGCGCACATTTTCAAACTATACGGAACGTTTTGAGAGTGAAAAGCACTTTCACACGCGTGAAAACGGTACCGCAAGACTACCGCCACTATTTAATATAATTAATCATGCTAGATAATACCACCGGAGCATGCATACGTTACGTTACGTGCGAGATCTACGGCGCGAGATACACGCCCACGCTTTCTACGTACGCACGTAGGTTACGGTATCTCGCGGATCGCTAATGCAAATCACCGTATGGACGTAAACAGTACGTGGAGCGACGCGAGTGTTGCGTAATCACCGCTCTGCTCACTTTTCCCGTGGAAAGTCACCGAACGAGATGGTACAATCGCGCTCGGTGCGCCGAATTGCAGTCGAAAAAGCGCCAGCACCATACGTGTGTGCGAGTGCACGCGACTGTATCCATAAGGCGCGTACAACTTAGACGCAGCTCTGAAGTTCTTCTGAGCACAGTACGCGGCTCTTGGGTATCAGAGGGGGCGATTGCGGCGTGCGGGGGGAGAGAATAACCTAACTATCCCCGTCTGTATACAGTTGCGAACAGCATCTAGTTACTCGGTTTTGTGATATTGAGCAATAATTTAAACTTTTGCACTCGACGGTACTTGCGCAGCTGGGGCGAACTTTTGCTTGTACGTGTTTGGCTCTGCTTGTTCGTGCGACTGTACCCATTGCACGTTTCCGGTTTCCTTAGCGCGTCGATTGTTTACGCTGCGTTGTGCCGAGTCGCGGCGTGTTCTGGAGTGCGTTTTATCTCGAGCCTCCTCATTAGGAGTGAGGATTGTGCTTTGCACTCAGACGCGGGCGAGGTATAATTAAGTTTCCCTCCCTCTTTCAGCGACTTCGGCTGGCGGGTTAAAAGCGTGGAAGGGTTCTGTATTCTCATGAGCTGCACATAATGCACACAGAAAAATATTGCGAGTTCGTTACAAAGGAATAAAGGAAAAGATTTTATAATTCTCTTTGAGCGTAATTCTCTTTGGAAGTCCAAAGTCTGACGGTCGTGGCCGAAGCGAAAACGCTCGGTTAACTTTTGTGAAGGAATAAGCAAAAAACACTTTTAACGGTTAACGTTAAAGGTTTCAATCAGACGAACGGAAATAAAAAGTTGCTGAGTCGGTTGGACCGACTTTATCGGTTAGTAGAGACTTTATTAAGCGACGAAGATAAGAAGCTAAAGTGCAAATAATATAACAGCCTATATTTCCTACTCTTGAGCAAATAATAACAACTATAATTTTCAACAAAAAAAAATAACTTCAAACCGGAAACTAGAAAAAAATATTGTTGATAACTATAACATTTGAGGATTGCCCTTGATTTCTCTAGGATGCCATCATCAGATCCGGGTTTCCTGATCATGGTACCACCGTTGGGATATGTCCTTTCCAATAAAAAAAATCAAAATCAGTTCATAAACGACGAAGTTATCCGCGAACACACATAAAAAAAAATAAAAATATATACTCCTTTTTTTTTGAAGACGATTAAAAATGCTGTGATGTTATTTTTTGTTGAATGACTATAACAACGTTACAACGACGATTAAAAAAATCTGATCCTATACATTAGAGAAACTAAATCTGTTCCCAATTTTTGGGAACAGATTTAGGGTATTGTTTTATAATGTTTTTTCGTTAATAACTTTGCTAATTTTGGTTTTAGGAGTAAGGCTAAAAGTTACAGATCAAAAGTTGTACATAGTATTATTTGCAACAAAAAATGTTCTTACAAATGTCCTTGTGACGAATAGATCCGATATTGCGTAAAAATCATTCACATCCCTTTTTATAAGATAAGATGACGGCCGCGGGGAAATGGTTGCGACCACACTAACCCCCTCTTGACATCCAAAAAGAATTGTGTGGTCTGACTTTGTTTAAATCCTAATTATTATTGTATAAATATTATAAATAATTCTAATAAAAGAATAATTTTTAATCATGCAAATATGTCCCGTGCGAGAGTCGACTCTTGTACAACTTGAGAGCTGCAATCACGTTACCGAAGGGTACACTTTGTCACGAGTAGACCGCCTCGCCCACGGGAGTACAAGGGCTGGTCTTCTGACCGGTGTGGAGTAAAAATATCTACAATTTTAACGCTTGGATACACGGCCGCAACAATTGTGGCGTGAATATGCCATGGACTTCCCCGAACATCAGCCGAACAGCTTGCTCTGTTGCAAACCCCTTGAAGTTAACTCGCCATTGGAGACCACCGCCACCAGATTGAACATAGCGGGGAAACTCGTTCAGTTAGTGCGGACCCTTTTTCCGGAGCGAACGACTCGCGCGCAAAACGCGCGGTGGGAATTTGAAGAAGAAAAACGACCGGAAAAAAGGCGGCGCCAGTGAAAGTTATACGCCACATACGGGCTCCGCGAATATATGAACCTCCATTGTTTTTTTTTATTATGTATAAAAGTGCAAACAAGCTGACGTTTCACCTGACGTTAAGTTATAACGGCCGCTATTGCAATACGTAGGGTTGCTGATGCGATGCCACCTTACTCACCAGACGAAACACAGAAGTATAACACTTACACATCACGACGGTGTTCTCAGATCGTGGTACTTACCCGAACGGACCTGCCGATTCATGCACAGAGAAAACTTTTGCGTGGCCCTACCACAGTTATTCCGTCGTATTTAGAGACCCGAGATGAATTGTAATTTTATAAATGCTACGTATTTAATATTAGCTCGCTTGATCCGTAGCTGCTTAAGTGACCTTGAGTGAATAAATCGTATTGATTTTCAAATGAGAATTAACGTTTCTACTAAAACACCTTCCTATAACATAAAGGGAAGCAGTGCTTTAATATATTCGTATACAACCACATATTAGATCGGCATGCGTTCATTTATTTTACGTGTCTTACGTGCACCAGTGGTTGGGGGCGATAAGATTGATAGTTTGGACGGGTGTGTGTCGGCGTGGAGACGGCGGGCGAGACGCAGCGGAGCGTCCCCAGCGGCTGTTAAGGCAGGTGCGACGGTGCAACGGCCGTTAGGTGGCCGACACACCGAGCGCGAATATTAAAATGTATATAAAAATGAAAAAATAATTTACTGGTCGATGATTCTAGAGAACGTTTGAGTAAGGCCGGCAAATAGACTTCGTAGATTTTATTTATTTATTGCAGTTACATTAAACAAAGATCGCACACTATAAAACGACGAACTTAATTCCTTTTTGCATTATCTCCCAGTCATCCCGGGTGGTGACAAATCGTCTTAGTATTGAATATGTTCTTTGATGAATTTAATATGCCACTGATTTTCATAAAGTTCAAAATGACTAAAGTTTGTTTTGTTTCTATCTTGTAGGGTTTTATTATTAAACTCCATATACACTCCAATATATTATATATTTAAATTATTTTGTTTGTTTGGTTTATTGCTTCTTATCGCCTCGATGTGTACTCAACCTAAAGACATAGCTATTCGCATGGAAGCACACAATATATTCTACTCATTAAGCGCGTTACGTTTGAGTGAAATAATTTGGGATACTTGACAAAAGACGTAACCTTAAGTTGTGTTCGTTCATTTTTACGCTTCAGCTCCGTGTTTCCATTTGATTTTGTATCGGTTTTTTAATGTTAATTTTAACCTTTCCCGACTTGAAACCGACACATAGCTGTGCACTTTTGAAACAAACGCAACATTCGGTGTCATCGTTCCAATCTTTTGTTTGTCCAGTGTTTTAAAACGCGAAAAAGCATTATGCAATTTAACCAGTGGGTCTGAATCCGATCATTCGACTGCAATATCGTTCGGCCGTTCAATTAACAGACTTCCGGCTAACACGTCTGTTGTCGGTCGTCAAATATGTATGCCGAGTTTTCCCAGCAGTACAGCAACTTCAATAGGATTGTTATATCTATTAGCGACCCGCCCCGGCTTCGCACGGTTGCAATGCTGAATGTTTGTTGTCGATATCGCATTAGAAACCTCTAAAATTATCAGTGTTTCTCTACTATATTACGCATGAATACATATAAACTTGAACTATGAAGAAAACTTCGTTCGCATCAAAATCCGTTGCGTGCTTTTAAAGATCTAAGTATATATAGGGACGGATAGACAGACAGACAGACAGCGGGACGACTTTGTTTTATACTATGTAGTGATATCTAGTTATATCTCGTCACGCGACGTAACCCGCTGGAGCGCCTCCTCTGACGGAATCTGGGCGCGGTGGATGGATGACCTTGACACGACGCCCAAATGACGCCATCCGAAGTGCCATGGAGCGTCTGGTCGAGGCCCCGACCTTCCATCCAGTTCCGCCCTGTCATCGTTTTCCATCGAACTTATACAATATCTTAGTAGGTACTGAGCGTACATGGATCAGTGTCTGTGTACACGAGATACTGAATTTAAATTATGTTTATTACAAAGACAATGGTGAGGTAAATAAGTCTTATTTTCTAAAAGTAAAATGTATGGCTATGAATTTTATCAACAAAGTTGTTTGGTTCTCTCTACTCGTGTAAAAGCGTGCACCGTTATTCGAGATAATTAGAAACATGGAAGATTTAACAACAGAAGTATATTAGAGACATATCAGAATCTTGCAAGCTCACGCATTGTTGGCACTGCCTATGTCGATCTATGTCTCGACCCAAGTCAGAAAGCAGCTTAAATACGTAATTTTACGCAATTATTTAAGATGATATAAACGATCTTAACGATTTGGTGTACACAAAACTTAACTAACTTGATGTATATTTCGTGAATCGCAGTATGAATGTAGTAATTCATGTGTCTTTCAAAAACTAAACAGCAGCTCCAAAGCAGACGGGTTCGATGTTTACCCCTCAAACATGCAATTGGTGATTTATATTTCAGACATACTTGCCCTACGTTCGAGCGAATCGCGTATAATTCAATAAGACACCCTCAAATTGGCGATAGACGTGTCTCGATGTAACATCACCCCTCGGCAAAACCAACACATCAACATATAAATTGCTATAACCTTTGCTGTTTGGTTTGGATGAAATCATTGAATTAAAATATTTTGTTACAAGAAATGGTTGTTAAACAAGAACAGAATTTATCAATAACTGATATTGTAAACCATTTCTTCTAGTTTAAAAAAAAACAGATGCATAATCTCTGTATATTTGTAGATACGTATGCATGTTACTTGCGGTATCGGTATTCGGTTACAATACTCTTGCAAAATGGAATGCATTTCAATGCACGAAAATATCCGATCGTTGTGTTGCTGTAACACGAAATAAACGGCAATCTGTCGTAAAATCGTGCATAATGTATCCCCATATAAAGCTCTCAATGTAGGGCACAGCTTAATTCCGTATCGAAACACCCGTCGATCGACTCTCAAATTTACATTTGATAATCCAGACGAATGATTTCGATTAACAGAATTTTCATAGTGACGATTCTCTTTTTTGACAATCACATTATATATAAAAAGTTTACTTTAGAAGTCGATAAGAGTCTAGCTAGACTATATATCCCTGATTGCGAAAGTATAGTACTTTCGCGTTTCGTCTGGGGAATGAGGTAGCCGGGATCCCCTTTTGGCAACTCATCTGGAAACTATCAGGTGTCCATGGGCGGCAGTAGTCAATATCAGGTGAACCAAATACAGCCTGATGACAGACGGAGAAACAGAAAAACAGACATTACAGCGAAGTCTTAGTAATAAGGTCCCGTTTTACCCTTTAGGTACGGAACACTAAAAATCAAGTTTTAGCATTTTGTTCCTTATACTCAATGCCCTTTATTCCGTTTCAATCTCTATTAAATAGATTGCCTTCGATTGTACAATTTTGCTAAGGTCAAGTGCACACTAAATCACCCGTGATTCCAAACATATGTTCCGCATATCAAGGTTATCAAACATTTCTCATTAATTTATTTACCGCTTACCAGCAAAACTGGTCAATCTACAGTAACAAGTTTTCATTAGGACAAGAGAATGGCTAAAATTTTGGCTCCTAAATCATACATATTTATTTATTTAAGCTTCATTGCTACACCTTAAGCTAAGCGCTACAACGGACGGACTTAATGCCTAATGGCATTCAGCATTTAGTATTAATTTATTTGCGTGTACTATGAGGGGTTCCCATAATTTTTTTTTACGTGAGAAAGCGGCAAACGTGCTTGTGTTTCACCTTAAGTTAAGTGATATCTGCCGCCCATGGACAAATGCGTTGCCACCTTTAAATAAAGTCAACAGACGAAACGCAGAAGTGTAACACTTCTTCACGCCGGTCTTCTGTGGGGTCGTGGTACTTTCCCGGACGGACCTGCCCATTCGTGCACTGTTGCGTGGTCCTATGCAGTGCTGCAATCAAAACTGCAAGTTCATACAGCAGTTGCTCTAAATAGCTCTATACTGGAGCGCGCCCGTGTGGACGAGCGATGCTGGTGTTTCGCGACAGATGGCGTGGTCGCCCACTCGATCCGCGCGCACCGGCATGCGCCTTGGCGCCGCCATAAAGGCCGGGTGACACTTAGCGCGGGCCCGACGGTTATTTACACGACTATCGGCAACTAGCAGAATATAGAATTACATTTATTTCAATTTTTGTAACGGCTGAACTGACGACAATTTGAGTTTTATTTGCGTTAAATACATTTACGTGTTCAGTGGCTGTTTAGGTCTACCTCCGAGCGTTTAGAACAAGTTGAAGGTTCAAAAAAAACGACATAGAATCGCAATTAAGCAATATTTGCTTGATTTTTTACATTCACATTATGTATACATAAGATAAAACACATAAAAATAGAAGAATCGTAAGCGACCTTCAATTCGGTACCTACTTACGAAAAAATGCTATTTTATATTAGTGTTAAAAGTTTTTATTTAACACTGGTACAACTGGCCTTTAAGTTGTACCTTTGGATTATAAATTTGACAATTTATTTTAAAGTTAACACCGCTGCCGCCGCAACTCGCGCCTCGCGCTATCTTAGGCAGTTACGTACATGTCGCTAGTTTTTACAAAGGTGTTGGTTTCATGCGTGTGGGTTGCTTTAAGGCCCATTTACACGATGCCATTTTCTTGTACATACAAGAGCAATAATTGAATGCAATAAATTGCGCGCAATAATTTGTTAGACCATTTGTTGTTTAGACCATGCAACTCATTTATTGCTTCAATTTAATTGTATACAACAGGCAAGAAACTTGCACCGTGTAAATGGGTCTTAATACACGTTGCGACGTGGAGGTTGGGCGGAATGGCTCCACCGCGGTCTCTGTATCTAATGAAGGCCCGTGATAAGCCCTTATGAGAGGCTCATTGTTGATTCGCTACTTTGTTTCAATAGTTCTATTGTCCGTCTCAGTAGCTTTGTCGGTCTACACGCTAATAATCAACCCTATACGTGAGCTATCTTACTCTGTGTTTATCGCTTTTCAAGCCCTAGTTGCTTTTATATGCTGCTTCCTCTATTTAACCCACACTTTTAAACGCACGCTTCTTTACGTAACGAAATAGATTACACTTTCTGTGTGTTATTTCACCGTTGATATTTTCTTGATTCCTAAGTTAACGCGAATCCCGTTGCATTTTTTTATTTGAAAAGTTGCCAAACGAGCAGACGGTTCACCTGAGGTTAAGTGAATACCGCCGCCCATGGACATCTGCTGGTACACCCGAGAGTTACTGATGCGTTGACAACCTTTTGAAAATTGGGCTCCGGCCACCTCACTCACCATACGAAACATTCGGTTAATTTTCTATTCATATTGTTATTTTCATCAATTTGTATAATTCATATTACTACATGTTAAAAATAAGATTACTTACAAGAACGTCAAGGCAAGAAATTGATTATTCAGTGTACTGGTCTCTTTATTCGATGGAGTCTTCAATACTTCGTGCACACTCATGCGTGGTCGAATGAATGGATACTCATTTATTTTCTTTGACCGTTCTTGTAATACGGAACACGATGTCGTGATAATACTATTTAATATTTGGATTTGTCGAGGAATACATTAGTATAAAGTTCAAAGAGAATACATTAGTAGTTTTTTCAATGATGCTTAAGATTTTACGTCAAATATTAACTCCCCACCCTGAACAGAAACCGAAAACGAAATAATTTATTTATTTATTATTCTATCGTGGATTTTGAGAATAAAATTAGTCTACATTAAATGGCTAATTTATTTTGTAGCTTAACGTTCCTTAGTTAAAAAGTTTAAAATGCTGAAACAAAGAAGTTACTACATACATATTTATTAACGTCAAAGGCAGTGGGACGATAACAATAATTCTTTATGAATACAACATTTTCTCGGGGCATGAGCGCGAACAAACTCACGATGGATCGTCGATAAGGATAAATATAGCGCTGTCACCACTTGCTGATGTCCGCGCTCAAGGAGAAGGTTTTCCAACAAACGGCACAAAGAGCCTTTATCAATGTCAGATAAGGATATTCCGCAATACCTCTTCTGCGTTCCTATACGCTTATACTTATGAATGAGTAGATATAGTGCAGCTTTGTTCCTATATGCAGCCAAATCGACTTTATAACATAAATATTGAATCATTCAATAGAATGTCTTAAACTAACCGTTTTTATTACATATACTTTATTTGCCTTCATTATCAGCCTACTCCACTCTCCTGTTGAATTTTAGCAATAAAAATTAACTAATTATTTTTGTACAATTCTTGACGAGAAATTTCTATTAGACTGGTAAAAGTAATCACAACTCAAGCGCTTGCACATACTACAAATACGATAGCGGTGGTAAACTTAACTGTTCCACATGCCATAGTCCTGTAAGCTATACGGCTTAGCGAGTCAAATCAATTCATTACAATTACTGGCTGTGGAAATGGTGCGCAATTATCGGGAGAACATAATTTTCATCCTCAACCTGCTGCCCTTATCCCCCCTAGGTGGGGTCGGAATCATGTTGTATGCGGTTTTGGCTATGTTTTTTACGACGTGCCTGACGTCAACGCTCCTTGGGAAACACACACCAGGAGCACAACTATCTGTTGTTCACACAAATATTTGTCGTTATGACCGCATGTCATTTGCATTAAACAAATAGCCCCATCTTGCACTTGTACTTAGATTCTAGTCACTTATTTCTGTACCCATATAGCCTTTTATGCTAAGTACCTAATACTCGACGATAACGTTGTGCCCCTTTTCACTTTGTTGAAGTGCGTCCAAGTGAAAACAATCTTGCCGCCCGTAATGTAACTCGCGTGACAGATTGCGCATAACCGTTTGCAATTTATTTATATTGGAGGAGCATCGGGTACGGCACGTACTTGTTTTCCTCGCCGTCGAAGTATAAGTGTTATTGGTGTAGTTTCTTTGTTTTGTATCAGTCTCACGGTGGAGAACAACCGCACATTGACGTCATCCTACGCTTTGAACGAATTCAAATGCACCGAATCATTATCATCCGTTGCGATATTCGCACAATATTGTATACACAGTATTTGTTTCTACAAACCTTAGAAACAAAACTAGATCTTTCTAGATCTAGAAGGTTTTCAAGACTCAAAGAGAGCAATTATTATAAGAAATAATTCTTTTTGTTCATTCAACTGTGGTAGGCCCACGCAACAGTCTTCTCTGTTGCATGAATGGGCAGGTCCGCCCTGGTAAGTACCACGACTTCACAGTAGATCGGCGTGAAGTGGAAGTGTTATAACTACTGCATTTCGTCTGGTGAGTGAGGTAGCTGCGGCCCAATTTATTAAAAGGTGGCAACGAATCTCACGAGTATTGCAAATGTCAATGGGCGGTGCTTATCACTTAACTTCAGGTGAACCGCCAGCTCGATTGCCACCTTCTCACATAAATTAAATATTAGTATAAATTATCCTGGTATCTTATAATTTTTATTGCTTATCAACATTCCAAATGAAAGAAACAATAGGTTTTATAATAAAAGAAGAGCATTAAACTTCTCTTCCGTTACGAGAATGGTTATATTCCGTACTATCTTAGTGGAGTATGGTACAAGATGGAGAGTATTAATAGCCGTGAGCCAGCGAAAGTTGGACAATACCGTGGCCGCTTCGTTGGCCGTGGTGTGTTTCGAGCCCCCGCCGCCAGCGACTCGTCGCGCAAGTTTTTCAGCCAAGAATGTGGAATCATTAGCTGGAATTATGTCAGACGCTAAGGTTCGAAACGACTCGGACGCTTGCTATTCGGGACAACGCTTATTCAGTACACACTTTGCTAACATTTCGCCGCTTATCATTAATAATTTGGATAGCGTATAACGGACAAATCGAGTACCACCACGATATCTCTTGGATTAATGACGCTCTTAAGATCGCCGCAACGGTTCCGTAACGAAATCCATACGCTTTGTTACCGAAAAACGAACGGCATGAGTATACTTCACTGTTACGTTTAATAGCTAAATTCCACTCGCCTGGGTATGCGCTAATACTTCTGTGAATTGCTAAATACTGTTTATAGAACCTACAATCGTATCAATCGCCGATTTCTTGTCCTACAATTGGTATTTGATCATTTATGTAATTGGAACTGAAACTTATAATTTTTAACAAACGTTCAGTCTCTAAGGGTATATAATGCGGAACTCGGAATTATCTGTTTCGCTGCGTTTAAACAATTGAACAGAAAACTCCGTTAACTCGGCGCTCCCTAGAAGATAAATTGACCGTGATGTTTTCGTACATTACGCTCAATTGAAAATATCTGTAATTCACGTCTTCCGGCTTTGTCGTACCTTTGTTTGAATTACTAGTATGAAATATGTTTTTCTAGGAATTCTATTTAAGTGTGGGTACACACTTAAATAGAATTCCTTAGAAAAACAGTTAATAGTCAGTTAATAGTTGATTTCGTTTCATAGTTATTATAACCTATAGAAATTTCTTATATATTATAAATCTAATTTTATCTTTTTTTTAAATAATGAAGCTATTTATTTAGAAAACATATCAAATGTTTCCATCTCTAATTGGGACGAAGGAAAATTTTATACGATACACATCGTTCCGATTCAAATCACGCGAGAATCACGCTTATGGTCACAGTTCGTGATCGCACTACTAACCTCCGACTATTAAAGCAACGGTCATGTCTAATATGGCGCCTATAAAACATCATCTGCCGAAATCTGACAAGCGAGTGACGTTAGAGCAATTCAAATCGCTTGTTACCGGACCTGTGAGGTTGAGACGCTCGAAGGCTTTCAGACCATTGTCATGCATAGCAGTGGCTAGCGATATATCCTAACTACAGAACGTGTCCATAATCTTAAAGTTTTACATTTACAACCTAAAGGTTATGGGGTCCCTCAAGAAATTCTTGGTTCCAATACTTTTCTTATCTTGCCCGTTTCACTTATAGGGATGTTTTTTTTAAATGTGCTTCTATTTAATTTGTAAATTTGTAGTAATTATTTCAACAAAATCGTTAAAATCTTACAAAACTGACGATTATTCCATAAATCTCTTATTCAATTCAATTTATTCAAGAACGGAAACTACTCATCTTCGTTGTGAAAACTAATACTTGCAAAATATTTCAAGCTGTATCGATGTAACTCATATTGATTAATGTCGCTATTCACCCAAGTCTTTTATTGTTCGTAACCCGTCGTGTAAATTATACCGGTAACATATAGAATCCTTGCTGTGTAGTGGCGTATAGTGACCGCTCCATTGTTTGCGAGTCGGTTACAGATTTGATTCGCGATAATGTTCCTCGGTATTAATTTTAACTTAGCCTTCGATGTATCGTATCATTTATTTCGACATATTTGACTTTCTCATTCATTTGCGATCACGGAGTTACAACATATATAAATGTAATCACTATCACCGTATTCCTTCATTTTTTATGTCAGATAAAAAGGTATTGTTTTGTTTTTTTCAATATTAAAGTAGGCAAACTTGTACGGCCTCTGTCTTTATCCAATACGATATAATCGGATTGACGGTAGAGATTTAGGTAACTTTTTAACGGGATCACGGATTTCGTAGCCTGCTTGCTGAATTACGAGTACGACGCACCGACAGGTGTATTGAAAGCAAATCATTGCATAATATATACTTGCATGTTTGTTTTGTAATTGTAAAAACTTTAGGTATACCATTCATATTGTGGGAAGAAACGAAATTGAAACTCTGCTTACCAACAGGGACGTACGTTATTAAACGCAACACAGTTCGAGGTAAAAAAAAAAAACTAGCCATCCGAACTAGAATTGCATAATCACCCAACAACATCCATAATGAAACGCCGTCCGCAATGGAAACGTTGCGTCGTTTCGAATGGAGACTCGTGACCAGTTCCTGTGTAGAGTCTTTGAGCACTCCAAATAGCTCCATTCGGACTCTAACGTCGCTATCTTATTAGCAGCAAGCAGTCCAGTTTCGCAATAGTTACCAACTAAGTAAATTAACAGTTCATATATGTCCCACTGCAGGTTAAAGGCCCCACTCTGTACAAAGAGTATAGGGGCCCACCATGCAATACCGCTGCGGATTGGCGGACTACACATATCTGCGAATTATTTTTATTTTTTGATTTATTTCGAAAGTATGCACGTTTCCCCACATTGTCTTCTTTCACCGCCGAGCACGTGATTAGTCAGCACTTATAATTAACAATTTCTTTGTTCCCGGCACCGGGGATGAAACTCTCGTTGCTCGAATGTTGAATTAGAAGCAATCACGGCTTTTTTAGCTACCACTGGTGCGTCGAGTTTTCCTCAACTTCCATCCGATTAGGCCATAAGGAAGTGCGATAGTCCTTCGGAGTAATTTTCGCAGATCTACGGTCACACGCTCATGGACAAACCGATTTGAATTGTTAGGCGTCGCACTACCTCGAGGTCGAAATAAATAAATTAATGCAATATCGTTTATGGCGAGATGTTGTTTTTTTTTTTTTTGATTCTATCGTATGTATCATATGCTTGCTTCAAAAGTATAAACCATTTCGTTTTTACTTATAAACAATCTTGTGTGCCTACGCTAAAGATTTGTTTATTTCGGATTCTCTCGTTCGATATGTAGCCGAGAGATGCGTTTGCATAACCCGTGAAAGTACTATTGCGTCCAAATTATTATTAACTTTGATGGATTCTAATTGTAAAGTTCATAATTTTATCGGTTTTCAACTTTTTCTTATTCGTATTGTGCATGAAGGTCTTTACACAAAGATGGTATAAAGTATAACGTACTGTGCTAGATCGACTCGTAACTTATGGTCTATGACCTCGCCCGTACGCTCGAACCACTGCCAAACCCAGTCGCCAGATGCTCTTAACCAGCGTAGCCATATAAGCGATGTAACCGCAAAATCTAGTTTTTTTTTTTCTATTAGTCTTAATCAATATTAGGCTTTCTGATGTCTTAAAAATACTTAACAAGGCTGGTCTGCTGTTGCTAATGGGGTGCCTGCAACGAATTACACCAAGTAATCAACATACTTTTTGTGTGTATTTATTTTTTATTATGGGCATAAACTTTATTCATTTCATTGCGTATTAAGTTGTTTGAAAAAAGTTGGCTGAATATTAGTCCCCTGCAGTCTATTGGGGAAAACTGGCAACAATTTGAATTATTATTTAACAGCTTTAAGTATTTTACTCTACATATGTTACAAATATACATAATTATAATATTTAATGGAATGCTGTCAAAATGTAACGTTTGCGCTTCCTTTATATAATCAAATTCGCAATCGTACTTCGCGTTCCATAATAAATTTTCTGTAACATTTTAATTGCGCTCTGTTGCACACTAGTGTTTTAATGTTTTCAATTTGAATAAGCTTACGCGCCGTAATTAATATTGCTTAAAAGTATGGCCTCTTATATGGTGCTCGGTTCTCTAGGAACGGGAAGTGACGCAACAATCGATGTTCATCGTTTTTATTTTCTTCTCTTGCGTTTCTTGAGCCACAATTTCTACTCTGCACAACTAATTTTTGGAACGAGTTGTCGCCAGCGGTATCTCCTGACAGATACGACTTAGGGCCCTTCAAGAAGAGAGCCTATTCCTACTTTAAAGGCCGGCAACGCAATGGCGACTCAACCGATGTTGCAAATGTCCATGGGCGGCGGTGATCGCTTATCACCAGGTGACCTGCATGGTCGTGAGCCTCCTTCCTTCTCCTGATCTTATTCCAAACAGGGTCTCTCCTACTTTCCTCTATCAACCATCATCGCAGTACTCACGCCTTTCAAAGACATATCATTCTGCACACAGTCCATCCAAATCTTTCTCGGTCTTCCTCTAGTCTTGCAGCATTCACTTTCAAACTCGTAAACTCTTTTTGCCTCACAAAAGATCGGTATTTTGTTAGGTTTGTGGTACGTCGTTAGTAAAATCGTCGAGGCGCCTGCTCGTAATGCCACCTTCTCACAAAAAAAGCTTATTTTAACACCTATGCAATATATCGTTTTGTAAACTCGGTCCATTTGATGGCGAGATGGACGGTATGGTCGTAATATGCTGAAGATATTGGTGATGATTCTCATATTCGCAAGAACTATCGTAAACACTTTTTTTGTCGGACAAACAAGATTAAGTCAACCGTTTGTCAAAATCTTGTAATACGCTGTCTGATACTTACATAACCATAGACATTTTTAATGATAGTATAGATAAGTTTAAGAAAAAATCTGTCCGTTTATAGTTTTTTTATTTAAATAGTGTAAATTTCTTCTTCTTTATCTGTACAATATTTATTATTGTTATTTTGTTAAATTACTGTTATTTTTTTTTAATCAACTAATGTACCAACCCTTTGATAGCATTTAATATAATTTAATAATTTTTTTTAGCTGTTGTCAATATAAAAACTTTTGAATGTCACCTATAATTGAGATACCATTTAGTTTAAGATACTATGTACTTATTTATGTTATAAGCATATTTTGACGTATATCTTGTTGGTGAAGTAAATGAATAAATAAAGAAATAGAGTCATCCTGAATCATTCTATGAGGATCAATCAGGAGTTCGAAATCGAATCATAATTTCGAAAACACGGAAGCTTTAAGAAAGAATCTCGTATTTATTATAATTCCTAATGCGCTCTACTCACAGAATTATCTAATTCTTCGCGTAATCTTTCTATTGTCTTTCGTTGGCGAGATGAACTCT